AGACCCCAAAGAAGAGGGTGCTGGTGGGGGTTCAGAGGCATTAAGTGCTGCTGGCCCAGGGCTAACCAGGGCTGTGCTGGACTGAGCCTGTGTGGAGGTCCCGGCTACCACCCCTCCTGCCCAGAAAATGCTCTGATTCCCTTCGGGGTGAGGGTCAGGGCCCCCAGGTCCTGTGTGTCTTCCTGCCCTCCACGGGGCCCCAGAGGTCATGGGGGGGAAGGCAGCATTGCCGGGTACAGGCTGGAAGGATGCCACCAGGAGCCTGTGCATGGCTGAGACAGGGGCCAGGCCCTGAGAGTCTGATTAGAACCTGGAGCTGGGGCCAGGGAGCTGACAGATGCACAGACTCGGCAGACCTGCGTCCGGGGCCATGTCCTGGATGGGTGCTGCAGTGCCCATCCATCCCTGGCATCCCTAGGCGAGACCGTGGGGCAGCAGCAGCACCCTGGGCCCATTGCCATCCATGGTGTGTGTGGGGGGAGGGGGGGGCACCTCCTTACAGCAGTAATGGAGACAGAGCATCCTTCAATCATTTAAGTGCCCGCCCCCATCCCAGTGCCCACCCGATTGCTGCGTCCAAAGCCAGGAGTGGGCTGTGCTGGGCTGCCTGCTCCCAGCCTAGATCCAAGGCCCTCCTGTTAGACCTGGCAGAGGGGACCGTGTGCCCGGGAACTCTGTGCATCCACCATGGGCATGCAGGTGCAGGATCTTCCAGCAGCTCTCCCCCAGGTATCCCTTCCTGGCTACTCCTCATGGGTCTGTGCCCATTCCACCTCCTGTGAGTGAGCTTGCCCTCCCCAGGGCTGGCATTTCCCTGCCTCTGCCCACCCCTCGAAGAAAGTGACAGTTCACTGTGCAGTCTCTCATGGGACAAGGGAGCGTGTGGTGGTCGCTCCTGGCCACCCTGACCTGCCGACTCAGCTTCCCCATGCTGCACCCCTCCCGGGCCTGTGAGTGGGGAGGGGTCAGCCGAGCCAGACAAGAAGCTCCTTGGGCCCCTGACAGGATATGGGGTGCAGGGGCCCAAGGCTGGTGGGGGCGATGCCTGTCAGAATCCATGACTGGGGCAATGGGAGGGGCTGTCTGAGGCATAGAGGCCACCACCATGGCGCCTGTGGGCATCAGCAGCCTGCTGGCCTTGAGCCTCGGATCCTCTCCCCAGCTGGTGAGGGCCAGGCATGACAGGAGGCCCTTGTGAGCTGGTCAGCGGTTGGCGGGTGGCTGGGGCGCCAGACTGCCATCTGGCCTGGGGGCTGCCTGGAGGCCCTGCCCTACAGCTGCCACGGAGCCTGCAGCAGCCGGGCCGCATGCCCTGTGTTGGTCCCTTGACAGCCAGCAGCTGCAGAGGTGACCGGGTGTAGGCCTGGCTCTGGGAGGGGGCTGGTGGTGGTCCCTTCCAGAAGAGCTTTGTTGAAATTCTGTAGTCTAGGAGCGGAGTGGGGTGGGGCTGGTCGTAGCTAGGGGAGGGGACACATGGAGCTGGGTCTTTGGGTTGAAATCCGGAAGGAGGCTGTTCTTCCCTTGGGGAGGTTGGGGGAGGTGGGACTGGTCTGCTTTCCTGCGGAATAGTGGGGAAGGCAGGGTCAGGTGCCCCGCTCAGGACTGGGCGATGCTTCCAGCAGGGGTTGGAGCTCGCAGGGGGCATGGTGAGGAAAAAACTCAGGGCTGGAACGGTGAGTGTCTTCTGGGTACTCCTATGATGTAGCTGTTCCCCCACGGCCTATGGGTCCGTGGCCTGAAGAATCACACATCTTCCACAAGAGGGCGCCCTCTCACCCAGTGGTGCTTACAGGACTTGGACTTATCCCAGCTGAGGGGGGAGGTGGGCAGCACCGGGTGGGGTCCCTTCCTCCACCTGCTGACCACCGAAGGAGGTAGGGGGTGCCCTGCTGGGGTGGGGAGCAATGTCCAGGTGGGACAGAGCATCCAGGGAGTAGGAGGTGGGTTTACTGGGTGAACAGTGGATAGTTGGTGGCTGCCCTAGTTGGGGGTGGGCAGCACTGGTCAGCATCTGGCTCAGGCCATATAACTTCAGACTTGAGCACCTCTGGGGGGGGGGTGTTGTCTACACGGTCTGAGCTGGGACAGCTATGCTGGTGGGGGAGGGTCAGGGACTGGGAGCTCCCTGCCCTTCTCTGAGGGGGTCCTACCTTTGGCCAGCTCTGAGGGGCAGGACCAGTCACTATCTCTGCCTGCACCCCGGCCTCTGGCCAAACAGTGTCCGTGCCTCCCCCAGCCCAGGCAGAACTCTGACTGTGGAGAAACACCCAACTGGTCCTCCATCCAAATACCACCGGCCCTCATCAGCTGGAGGCCTTGGGAGGGGTCAGTTGTTGGGCCGGCCAGCACTCTATGGGGACCATGGCCCCTGTGGCCGGCAGTGAGGGATCTAGGCGGGCCTGCAGGGGAAGGGGTTTGGGCCCTAGGACACTGCGTGACACCCCCTGGGAGTACAGCAGGGTCCCAGCTTGGCCACAAATAAGTAGGCAGAATGATGCCCAGATACCAGGGGCCGTGCGGTGGGTGCCCTCCCTTTGCCCCGTCAGTCACCCCCCTTTTGGAGCAGCCGGCTTCCTCATCTTCCTACAGGGGGACCGCTGGAAGCGCGGGTGAGGACCTTGCAGGCCAGACCACCACTGTCAGGGCCACAGCCCCTCCACCTCCCCGGCCTCCAGCAGGCCAGGGCGGCCTCCACCAGGACTTCCTGGGGCCCCTGGCGCGGCCG